GAAGTTTTCTAGGATTGACCAACTGGCTACGAGAGAACGTGCCCCGGTGTGCCGAATTACAAGCACCGTTGGATAACTTACTAACAAAGAACACCCCTTTCCGATGGACAGCGGCAGCCGACGTCGCCTTTAGCCAGTTAAAAGCAGCACTTAGCAAACCACTCCAACTCAGCCGTCCGGACTTCGCCACTCCATTCGTGCTGCAAACCGACGCCAGCGAAAACGGGATTGCGGCCGTACTCTTTCAAGAACCCCACCCCGGAGAGAAAAAAATTATCAGCTACGCCAGTGCCAAACTTAACCACGCGCAGAGACGCTACCATATCAACGAACAGGAGTGCTTGGCAGTAGTGTGGGCCATTAAACGATACCGGCCATATCTGGAAGATAGACGTTTTACGTTGAAGACAGACAGCCGCGCTCTCCTGTGGCTGGATCGCACAAAAGACGAAAAGAGCAAGCTAACTCGTTGGGCATTACGGCTCCAAGAATTTACGTTTGATGTGGTCCACTGTCCGGGGAAAGAAAACGAGCTTCCAGACCACCTGTCCCGCCACCCATCAGCAGAAGAAGCCGAAGAAGCCACGGCAGAAGACGTAAACCGCATGCTGCCACCCACGACCACACACGAGTCCAAACAAACCAACAGCACCCCGGTAATCGCGGCAGTGGAAGTGGCCAATTTGGCGGACCATGTGAAGGAGTGCCAAAAGACAAACGAAAACGCCATCGTTCTGGTACGCACCTGGCACAGAATACAGCAGGAAGGACCAGCGACACCAGCACAAGCAAGGTTCAACCGGGATTACACGGTGGACAACGGTTACCTCTACCGCAAAGCACCCCAAGGGAACCTACTCGTAGTCCCCTGCAGCCTTCAACCAGCGGTACTAGAAGCGTACCACAACGCAGCCACAGCTGGACACCCAGGAGCCGAAGAAACGGAACGGGCCATAATGACACATTACCACTGGGCGAAACTGGGAGACACGGTGCGGAATTATGTACGAGCATGTTGGATTTGCGCGGCAGTCAAAAGAGGCCCGGTCCAGGACGCCACCGTACGCCCACGCAAACCCACACGACCCTGGGAAGCGGTTTCCGTAGACTTGATGGGCCCCTACGACGCCACACCTACAGGCTACCGCCAGATAGTCGTGATCACGGACCTCTTCAGCATGTGGGTGGAGGCATTTCCAGTAAAGGAAGCAGTCGCTCCAACAGTGGTCAGAATCCTGGAACACGAGGTATTCGCACGCTATGGTTTCCCGAGAGCGATCATCTCAGACAACGGACCGCAATTCACATCAGTGACATGGGACGCGGCACTTCGGAAGTGGGGAGCAATGCACTGGACAACGCCCATATGGCACCCGCAGGCGAACCCCGTCGAACGCCGGAACCAAGAAATCAAAAAGGGCCTCCGCACTCATCTGGTGGGACAAAGCCCCAGCGCCTGGGCGGCCGTACTACCCATTGTCATGTTCACGTTACGTACGAGGAGAAACGCCGCTACTGGACTCACGCCGAGCCACGCGCTGCTAGGCTACGACCTACCCAGGCCAGGAGAGTGGAAAGCCAGGGATCGACCACCTCCACCGACAGGAGAAGCCCGAGAGGAGGTCGTACAGACGGTGCACAGGAACCAGGCACGATCCCGCAGCCGGTACGCGAACTACGGGCCAGCCCGCACCCAGTACCAAGTAGGCGACGGAGTGATGGAAAGATCCAGGGACCAACACTCCGGGAACTTTCACATGAAGTACACAGGTCCCTACACCATCGAAGCGCTGGCGGGCACAAACGCGTACTGGATAAGGCGAGGAAACGAACTGGTAAAGGTGCACGTACACGATCTACGCCCCGCACCCAACCAACCCACCCCGGCACCAGTACCGGAACTTCCGCCAAGAATCATTTCACCGACGCCACCACGGAACCAACGACAACCCCGTCACCGCCGTTTGCTACAGCGCCTGCACCCCGCCGTCGCAACCCCTTTACAGGGGGGGGATACTGTTACGACGACTAGGAGAGGGGTTGCAACTTCCACCCCACCATCCACTAGCGCCCTATTGGCCGCGTCGCCAGACGCCTCTACCGGAAATCGTTTATAAGCAGCGCACCGACGGGGGAACTTCACTTGTGCCTGGGCAAGCCTACCTTACCCTATACAAGCGACTGAGGCTGGTCGCTTGGGCTCAAGTACCGTCTCCGCACGCCATCACTTCCCGGCTTGACCGTAGTCAAGTCCGGCGCCATCCCACGTGCCAGAAGCGATCTTATATATGTACATATAGCCTCTGTATTATTTGTAAATATTGTGTAATATACGTTTCCAACCTCCGTTTGCCACTTACGTTACCCCGCCCGGTAACAGCCTTCTGTAATTTCGTAAATTTCCAATTTTCTTCGGC